CACGCATGGAGAGGTACCGTTCGTGACATCATTGAGGACGGCTAGATCAGGCGTGATCACAGCCGCAACAAGTACGAGTACAAGAATTCACATTCAGTACTAGATATTTACTGCTCAACTCAACTCCCCGGTCGTAGAGAGGTGCGAAAATTAGTTGAGATAAGAAAGTAAGAGTAAAACTAAGCAATTATTGCAGGCGGGCAGGCAGGCGGAAATGCAATTGTGTGCAAATTCGACTGCTTGTGGAAATAAGAACACAAACCCCGAAAAAAGACGATAAGATCTGAGAGAAGATTACCATGAGGGACTCCATGTGGTTCCTTTCACTTTCCAAGTCACGTTCATAGCGGGATTCGGCTTCTTTGAGACGCTCCTCGAGAATAGCGATGGTAGCGTTGAGACGAGTATTTTGTTCGCGCAGTCCCGGCGACACGGAATCCTGGCCGGACATCTGGATGGCCGACATGGAAGCCACACGCTCCTCCATCCGTCGCATTTGATCCTAAAGATGATAGAGCGCAAGAAAAAAAAGATGATTACAGCGACCGTGAACAACACTAGTTTATCTTACTTTATTACGAGGAAGCGGCGCGGAAAACTTTTCGCAATGGTACAAGATGAAACGTGATCCCCGTGCTGTAGGCAGTCGAGATCTGAAGAACCCTTGAATAATTATATTCAGACCCTAGAACGTTAGGCGGCAATGGTTCCAGAAATAGAAGATGTGTTGGCTGAAACAAGAAGTTTATTTGTCTGGCGTTTCGAATTCTGGCTCGAACACATCGTCAGAGATAGCCACAGAAAAGAAACAAAATCCATTCAGGTATTGCGACAGCTATCATGTCACAGTAACGTTTTGGCACGGGTCCCTTCTCGGTGGCCACAGGAATACGAGATCAATGAACACGTTCATTGTCTCTCATCTTGCCGTCAACAGTGACCTCCAGATTGAGGCACTATTGGCCTCAGTTGGGGGACAGCAAGCTCCTAACGCATAGCCAATTAGCATTTACGGCACTCGCTATCAACAACCTGAGCGGCTTAGCACAGTAAACGCCTGCCGTCAACTTTAACCCTGGGCTTTTAAGCTAAGAACGTAGCATTGAAGGGGGGGGGGTAATAACCGCGGCTAGATCCTACAACTAACCAATCCGGACGGCGTTATAGTTGCGTGTGGAGGAAGGCTATGGCTGCAATAGCCCACACGTAGGTTTGCAGGCAAAAACCCACTTTTCATCCTTTTTTTAAAGTTTAATGGAAAATCTGTGAGGGGGGCGGTGACATGTTAGGACATAAAATGAAAAATAGACACTAACTGAAATGCGTTGGTGTGCTTGCCTACGGAGCCTGCGACCGGGTGGGCTAACTAATGGTCTCTGGGCTTATAGATGGATGCTGTTTCAGTTTGTTTTTGGATGCCATCCGCTGGTTTGGTTAAAACCGCTGGCACGCCTGGTATTCACTGGCCAGCATAGCAAATAGTATAGCATAGTAGTGCTTAACCCTAGGCCAACAGTCAGATCATTTTCGGGGGCACTTTATTCGGGAAAAGGTTGAACAGGTTCGTCATTCGAAATCCTCTGTTTGCGCAAATTCAACTGTAGCACCCACGTAAAGTCTTGATTGAGCAGGCTTCTGGGGCGCCTGAAGGGACGTCCGTATGATCAAGAGGGCAGACGTGAGTCAAGTGCCTCACTTCTGCTGCTATTGCTTCGGGGCTTGTAACCTGGACGGTAACTGAAAACTGA